ATCGTTCATTCAAGTTATATAAACATTCAGTGGAAAACACCGAGACTACACTAGATCAGTAAAAGACTAGGTATTCTCATACATTCATAAACTGTTTGTCAAAGCGTATAAAATTAAGATGTATAAAAGAAGACAAACTTTCATTTAACTACCTTTAGAGATATTTAGTTTGGCATAAATATACTTCAGCTTCTGTTCACTATTTCCCCTTCTCTTCTCTCTACTTTCTAACATTATCAGAAGTTCATTGAACACTGGTTAATAGGAATCTACAAGACTATTGACTTTTTGATCATAAAATAAGTGAAATCATTGGACTGATTGAGTGTCAGCTTCAATGAAGTATTCGTATCAACTAGTGACACATCAAGGCCTGAACAGTTACCTGCTGCCACTCTTGTTTTAACCTTTCAAGTCATATGCACCCATGTTGAAGACTTGTTCAGTTTCCCATACGCGCACACAGGTAGGAATCTAACCAAATGGCTGTTTACATTGTTTCTGGCTATTTCACTGTCAACAAAGTAGGCATAAATCAATATATGATTCAGATAAATTTTGCCCAGTTTCTATGACTAATCTTGATATTTTTTTACTCAAATAATAAAAATGTTCAGCATCCATTTTTCAAATCAGTACAAGTTAGTTGAACTCAAACTATATCTTTCATGAAAGCAGTCACATTGAAGAATAGCAGTCTCATTATTTTTGTTAAACCAGCAGAATATCGATCTCTTGGAAAGGAAACACTTTCATTATTGTTGATGTCAATCATACTAATAATAGATAAGAATAGCACAAGTTTATTGAGGATAGATAATAGAGAGGCATAAACTGTCTCCTTTTATTCTACCTCATATCATAAGGAATGGATTTCTGAAGTCATTTTAGTTGGTAAGGATTCAGTGACAGAATAAGACGACAAGTAATTTAGACGTTGGTTGTTTATCAACTTACATAACTACCTTATTCATTGATTGTTATTGCACCACAGCCAACAGGTGGTGGCACCCGTAAAATCAGTCGTTTCACCATGATTTCCCACGGGAACCAAAATATTAGATTCAAATAACGTGATTTGTGCGACACCGAAATTGGTATCTAAATTACGTTCATGAAGGTTACACTAAATAGGCTACTGAGTGAAAGGATTAATATGCAGACCTCTAATGTCAATGGGCATGACTAGCTAACCATATTAAGATGATTTCAATCACAGATGACTACCTTGATCGTTTAGGATTACGCTAGACAGGGATGCATCTTAAATGACTCAACTCAGAAAGCTGATTTCTTTAAATCACCCATTGTGGTTGCTTTACACCTACTCAAGTCACTCAGTAGTTAGTTTTTTACAGCTTTCATCCTCATATTCTTGACAGCAGTTGTGAAATTATGCAGATGGGATTATACGTTCTGAATCAGATGTTTGTATGGTTGATGCTTTCATAGAACAATGGCGTATATCTTGCCGGCAATCACCACTGACTGCATCATTTTTTTAGTAAAATACATACACTTCAAACAAATTCAACTATCAGCAGTTCAAGCTATCTTTTAGTTAATGTGAATGTGGTCTATTTCTTATCCATATTTAGCCACTAGAAAACAATTTGTGTATTGACCGCCATAATTCTTATCTAAACAAGAACAACGGAAATGTCATAAACGAATATAAAATGCATTAATGTCCGTAAAAGAAACTTAAAAAATAAGTAAAAATAAAACAGACTTTTACTGAAATCAGATACTAAAATGTCATGTCTTAGGTTGTACCGAAATGTCAATAATTTGAACAGCTTGTCATAAAATGTATTATAAAATTTTGATATAGATAGAGTGGTAACAAAGCTACATCCACAAACTTTTCAAACAGTTTCCATCACCGTCTAACTGTAAGAGAAACCAGTTAGCAGGTCTTTTATCCTAGTTTATGCGGATAGAATAAAACATGCAATTTATTGTTTCACTAGAATCCGTTTAAAGGACTTCTGAGAAGGTGTAAAGTTAGGCATATTTTGCATCGCCTGCTTACCTTACCATTTATCCTACTAATCAGTGTCTAGTTGATCAGTGTTACAAACTGGTGACATAATGTATAACAAACGCTGATCTGTTGAGTGGATGGCAAATAAACGTTATAATTTGGGGTTTGTGGGGATTCAAAAATGTTTCAAGTTGATTTTCATCATGGATTGACATCATTTGGGGGAACATCGGAAAACTGGGAGCAGTGGGCAGATGTTTCGTCATAGTATGGGACTCCTTAGTAGTGCGCACCCATGACCGCATTCCGCCAGCAGTCGAACCCTCGACCCACAGGTTCTGTGGCAAGCTCATCACCATTGAACCACTCGGTTGAAATGCAGTGGTGCATATTTCCAACTTCTGTCAGTTCAAGGCATAGGGCAACCATCACCCAATGTCACCATTGAGTATTTGTCCTCACAACCACCAGGTTTGCCCCACTGGCCACTGTAACTTCAGGAATCACCTCTTGAATCTAGTCATCAATTACGAAAACAAACTTGAAATATCTCTCAATCCCGACTAACCCTCAAATTCAATTGAACTAGTGCTCATTAGTGACTAACTTCTAGAAGTGATTCCTAAAGTTTCAAAGAGAAGTCATGAACAGTGGGGCAAACCTGGTGGTTGTGAGGATAAACACTACGCGATGGCATTCGATGTGGGTGGTGCTATATTGTGAACTAACAGAAGTTGGAAATATGGACCACTGAATTCCTATTCATTGGCTCGGTGGTAACGTGCTGATTACGGAACTTGAAGACCCTGTGGCAGGGTGGGGTCATGAATGCACATTGCTGAGGAGTCCCATACTAAGGCGAAACAGCTGTTTACTGCTCCCAGGTTTCCAATATTCCTCCAGTTGATATCAGTGCATGATGAAAACCAACTTAAAGTGACAAATGTTTATTTGATGCGACGTTAACAGATTGAGAATAGTATGCATTACAGTAAGCCATTTATAGGCAGAGGGTTGAAAGGTATACTGCTCAATGGAGACAACAAAGTTTGACATGATAAGCTGAAAAGCAGTCATCAACAGAAGATAAACGTAAATCTTTGTTTGTTTCAGTTCTCCAATGTGATTACCCACCTCCTTTATTGTAATCCTTGCTAGAATAAGGAGTTCGATACCTGATAGCGAAATGTTAACGAAACTTTCAGTGTAGAGACGTACTGAAAACCCAAATAAGGTAGGTGTTTTCGTCTAGATTACAACATCACCTCTTAGCAGCTCTTGTTTTTCAAAATAATGAATGATAGACCAGTATTTGAAAAATAAAATCAATAGAAGTGGGTTGAAAAAATTTAAGGGAAATAGTCATATATATAGACAAGCTGTCTGTGTAAAATAAATTTTTCTAATTTTCTAAGAGCTTATAACTCTATACAAATAAAAACTTAAACACATCTTATAGTTCACTTGACCAAAATATTTATGAAAAGAGAAATGAAATTTCAAAAATTCTGATCGATAAGCTTTACGTCAGTCTGCGTGATTTATTTTTTTTACCTCTACACCAATACTTCCTGTTCATAATAAACGTCACGTACATAAAACCTAATTCCAAAGTGGTGACGTACATTGAAATTTTTAATTCTTCAGAAAAACAACATTTTCTACAGTTACCTTACTCGCACAATCAATACACAGCCTGTGATCCCTACAGAAAAGCATCGGGTTTAGCTTTGATGTCAAAAAACTACAGAAATTTCAGAAAGTTTCAGATTCAGCAGTTTGATCTGGTAAGCATGTTCAGTTAGGTTCTACATAAAATGTGGGTGATATCCTTATCATTCCATATTCGTTGTAAATACCACAGAGACACATAGCCCTAAATTGTGCCACTGATAAAGTAAATACTCAGCTACTGATAACCTCATTCCTTTTGGTCATAACAGATCTACATGGTATCTTTTGTTTTCGTATTTCGTGTCAGCACACTAGATCAGTGGTACGCAAAATCCTTCTTTATCTCATGAATAAAACTTTTAGTGTGCTTCATCACAAAGAAGGATAAGACATGGATTTCTTACCACAATCACCTTCTTGTCTGTTAGTTCAATATTCTATTGGGTTCCACAGTATTTATAACCGGTAAGTTACTGCTTTGTTGTGATCAGACTGCTAAATTCCTTTAGCAGATAACTGCCATTTAATCCCCTCCCTCCTTTCGTCACTTATTTCAAGCGCACAAAATATATCTGAGATGAGGAGACAGCCACATTAACCCTCTGCGGCTCAGTCTATATATTCTAAACCAGTATTTATATCAAGTACCAAACAACATTTACCGTGCAAGTATTCTATTAAACAAATGTGGATGAGGATGGTGATTGCCATTTTACAGCAATTTTGTCCCTACTTCATATAAAACATAAGGAAATGCAACTAAACCATTTCTTACATCTCCGTACACTGACTATAAGTTATTGAAACATACCACCTGGATTTCTGAATATCGGCGGAAAGACAGTAGTCAGAATATATGATCCACTGGTTGAAAACCAAACACATGGAGTAGGTAGTACATATTCTTAAAAGATTCTCATTAGTTTGTCTTCTATACCCACGACCTAACCCTCAACAATAATCCTCTCAGATTTATTCTAGTCTGTTGGATATTTCATAATTTATGCTGTCGAAAGCATGTTCAGTTTAGATTCATTACCATCCTATCTGCAGGTATTAAGGACGTTTTTTAAAATATGATACAGTACATGAACTAGTGTAGAAAAACGGCTGTAATATTATTAAACTGCTTTATTTATCAACCAAATATGGGTCAGTACAGCGTTATGTGAAAAAGACATGAACGGATAACATCAATACTAATCTGAAAAAGCTGCTTTTCCCTCAACGATTTGAAGAGTATGGTGAGCCCCAAACAATCTAGTGACACATTCTTTTACATAACCATGCTTCTGTGAAGTTTGAACTGTTTTCCTTCACAGTTCATCTTCTATATTGTCTAGCGAAAAACTTTAGAATAAAAAGGATTTCTACATACTTATTTTTACAATGTGATGAGAATTTATTAACAAACTTTTCTCAGATGAAAGCTGAGAAGTCTAGTTCTAGGTATGAAAAAATACGAAAGCCGTAAGTTTATTAGACAGTAAGTCACAAAACAATATGAGCCGAATCAATTAATCGTACCGGAAGAGAACTATTCTTAGCTTCTAAACAATAGTGAAATAAAGCTTCTGATGAAACAAGCAAATTCTTCACGGAGAGAAGTAGAATTAATTTAAAAACCACGCAAACTTCTAAAATATTTCATTCCATTTTATGTCTTCATGTGAAATACCGTTACATCATGCTACAAAAGTTAAATGAATGCGCAATTTTCTCCATGTAATTACTCTAAGTTCCCTTATGTTTTACACTGGATGTGCTTACAAAATGAAAAACAAGAATAAAATAATTATTCACCAATCACATGTTCAATTCTACAACAATTTACAATATTTTCGTCTGCCTTCTGTGTTTTCATACTTTCCCATTTATTCGTATAGTCACCTCATTATAAGCAAGAGAGTTTACGTTGAAGGTTTTTAGAAAGCAGACATACTTAAACTTAACTTGCTTATATCAACCTGTTTATATATATATATATATATATATATATATATATATATATATATATATATGATATTGATGTCGAGTATGACGGAGGAACGATTGAATACTTTTTCAAAGATACCTACTTTCAGTCAGTCTTTATCATGTGATGATTAATAATCAACAAAGGCAAAAATCTGCCCATATAGGTGATATTTCACTAAATCCGTATTGCTATCGAAAGTATTCACACATTCATGATTTTGGAAAACGTCAGATACCAGCCTACTGGCTTAGACAATACATTCACTGAATCCTTCGTATCAATATATTTGTGTAGTACAAACTAATCATGTTAACAACTACATCTACGGCAAGCGTATACTTTTCGTGGTGATATTTGTGTGGAACTCAACAGTCTTAGATCATTTTGTTTGAAGAGTATCATATTTCTTGCACTGTCTTGCTAAATATACTTCTTTTTATAACAATTGCTGCAAAGCTTATCATTTCAGGTTGGTTGATCATGGCTAGGTCATCAGAAAATGTGATTACTATTCAACTTACGAAAACTTACATCAACTTGATCTGACTCCACTTGCCCATAACAGTGAACGCTTCTATATTGGAATAACTTTACATTATAACTTATCCTGGCTATTGTATTTCCTTTTTCTTCGTTGATTTATAACTGAACAGCCTAAAGAAGTTGCTGAAAACAATTTTTTCGCTCTTTTTTATTCTTGTTCCCAATAATCTATGGAGATCACTAAGCCACTAGGAAGTTTGATTAAGACAAGTCAGCATTATTTATACTTGTAGAATGTAAATTAACAAAAGCTACAGAGGTTTTAAACTTTATGTTAACACCTTTAAATATTTTCAGTTAAATCAAAAGTATTACTAATTGGATTATGTACCGTTTACTATCGGAAAGAAAAAGAAATATCCCATTGTCATCGGAAAAGGACTAATTAATCAATAACAGAATTATTCTTTCCTCAGCATGCAGTTGGCCTTCTTCAGCTATAAAAATAACCTTCAAGCTCTGAAATGAATGGTCAGATTTTTTATTCTATCCAAGGAAGTACTTTTGTCTGAAACCGATTGTGAAGGCACCAAGGTGTTTCATGTGAATAATCAGCAGTAACATTCTGATACTGCCTTTTCTATGTTAAGGAGGGTTTGGAAAATATTGTCTCAAAAGATTGCGCAGTTCTATCTTTTCTATGACGTTTGCTTCCGGTAGTGTTGATTTTATAGCTGGGTGTATATCAATTGAGACCAAACCTAAAACCTGACAAAGATTGGGAGTTACTGGCCTCAAGCAATGTCTCTTGGGCTTCGCAGTCAAGCAACATCATAACCAAGCCAGTTTCTTTGTTATGTACCTCAAGTAAAACTAACGTTTAACTATATAGGCGGATGGCGAGCGTCGAACACCCCCACAACTCTGTCACGATTTAACTTACCTCACCACTTTGTCAACTTTCCATAGTTTTTCCTTATAATCTTTCTTAAAATCCCTATGTCAGTCAGTATTCTCACATAACCTTTAGTTTTTTACGGCTCTGTAGCCTTTTCTAACTGTTTGAATTCATGGAACATCATGCCTGATTTCCTAAAACCGGGCTTCGAACTAAATCTCGCAACTTTCAGTCATCACACCCTTCATCGAAGCGAAAAGCAAGTTGAGATATCCAAAACTCAGGCACATAAAGTGTGTTTGTGAAACAAGCATACGTGACTCAATTGTTATTATTCACTTAGCCTTACCAAGTCAATGCGGCATATCTTCAGAATTCAACTTTCGAGTTTCTGAAGATTCCATGGTCGGTTCTTATGTTCTTGCAAGTGCAGGTGCAGCGTTATGCTTTACGGCTAAACATCACTCCTCTAATCGATCCCAGCTGAAAGCAGTTTGTAAACTCTTGAACCAAACGGTGTAGTGAGAGAGCAAAAAAATAGAATCCACCTTTGTCTCTCTGAAATCTCTCCTTACGTAATCTATAACTACGGTTTGAACAAAGCGAATGGTTAATTCCAAAAAAGCTTTCTACTTTTCCATCCAAAGTCACACGTTTAGACTTTGTTGACGTAACAGATCATTTTAAAGCACAGTTTGGTAGGAAGAACCGGGTAGAAGGATACTAATTTGACATTTCCGGAATCGCATCCAGAAGAACGATTGGCTGCTACAACTGTGCTCAAATTACCACCTCAAATTACTAGCTCTAAAAATTAACAGCAGAGAGAGATTTTCTGTCAAGACTGGGCCTGGTCTTAGCTTAGTGGTAGACACCGTCAGAACATATTGCTGTCATATACAACAGTGGAAAATTCCTGCTTGTTATGGAGCAAGAGTTTAAAATAACAGTTCATATGGATCAAGCACACATAGATTTGCGCCTAGGCAGATATGGGAATCCGCGGATATGATCCCGGCTGACCCTTCGCAATCACCAAGTGTCCCAGTCTTGAAGGAGGAAGAGAAATTCTCAGGTGATACCCATAAGGGAGGTTGTTTAATGGATATATTGGTAGAGGTTATAGGTTCTACTATAATCAGATATCTTATTGGAGTTTGAAAGCAGTGAATTCAAAAAACCAGGCTGGATGTGGGTGCATCAACAAGATATTCACCCATTACCAGCTTCAGGAGCACAAGTAAACTCACTGAAAACCCACACTAACTGTATTTCTCGACTCTGGCTTTGTCAATCGAGAGATATTATGTCGATGTTTCCTACCGAAAATGGAACCAAGTAAGTATATCATTCTTTTGCAAGCTCTGTATTCGAAAATCCATTGGCATATTTAGGCTTACGGTGCGGTACTAGATGGTTCTTCTAAGCTACGTTTAGCCCATCAAGCTTACTTCCCCTTTCTATCATTGTTTTGATTTTTTCGATAACGTGCTTTCCTTACACGAATTTATGGAGATCGTCATAAGAGATTGCTCAGTCGGTCTAGAGCACGCGGATGGCATATTTCTATAGAGGGGCGACAATAAGATGAGAAGTCTATTGAGAAAATTAAGTGGCAATTAAAGAAAGTTTGGGTAGCGATTGCGACAAACCAAATGCATTCCTTTCCACCAGGACTGGTCTGGATATTTGTCTCATCTAACATGTTTAGTGCTGTGAAATAGAAATGCGGCACAACTAAACAAAATAATAATTCTCGAATTCGTCCGCCTTTAAGGTCGGCTAAGTGTACAAATATATGTCATTGAAAATACGTGGAAAAAGTGATTCTCAGTTAGTAACATTTCACTGATGCCTCCAACACTGTTGACGAAGTAATCTTACTAATGATAATGAATATCAAAATGTAATAAACCTGAAGACGTAGGTGCTGTTTATTTGTCAGCTTCAAAGAACTCATATTGAAAACTGAAACCCTTTGTCAGTAGTCAGATTCAAAGTGGCTAACTGTGAAGCGAAATTGTAGACTGCAACCTTAATACGAAGCAGTTCATGCTTCAGTATATGCCAGAAACATAAAGCTGTTGTTATTTATTTAGCCAATTATAACCTTGTGTTCCACGAGGTTAATAGGTGGTACCACATCAATAATGTGCTGATACACAGCTTTTCTTTTCACTCCATTTTATACTTCTGCCATTTAGGAAAGACACCAAATAAAAGCGTATTTAACTTACTTGGAACTCTATCTTCTCCCCACACTTTCTCATCGTCACAATCAGAGTATTGATCGTCTTCACAGAGTGTACTGTCATCATCTGAATCAGTTTGTCTTGTAGAATCTTCTTGAATGGTTTGTCCTTCATTTTTATCTGCTGGTTTCATGCCACTTTTCAGGTAATTACATGACCGATTTAAATGCAGCCATTGTAACACTTTCCGACGTAATATTCTAGCACATCGATTTCTTATTTGTGTTTGTATTTTGGTATCTTCATTTTTCACACTTCCATCAGTGACGCTCCGTTCGGCACTATGTTTATTGGTGCTTTTCGACATCTGTTAATTTGTAAGGAAGCGATTTAATTGTCAATAAAGGTTTAGTAGATCAAGTTAGCGTATAATTTGAATTCAACACTATTAAGTATTAAAAATCTAATCCAGAAAACTTTGTTGAATTTTGAAGGTGTATTAACCCCTTGATATTGCAAATGACATAGAACAAGTAATGACCTTCAATAGAACGTACATTTTAATTATCATTTAGTCAAATTTTTAGAATGATTTCCTAGCTTAATTCGATAAATTAATCAAGTTTCATGTAACGTCACCAGTACTACAAAGTTCATTTTACTCTAAATCTTCCACCAACTTGAAGGAGCATAATCATTAACACTAAGAACGAGTTGTATATAAATGTCATTTATAGAATGAAAATCCATATATTTCCATATGTTAACTCAATTTCACCTTTTAATCATATTCTGAGTGTTAAACATCATTTTTAAATACTGATCAACTTCTTACAGTATGGTTCTTAATTTTGATCCCTATTGGGTGATTTAAACGCTATTATCTTCTGATGAATGTTCACGTTTGATTTTATTGATATAGTTTATGCAAGTGATAATTTTTTGAAATGAACCAATGTCTAGAAGAAATGACAGCTAAGTGATTTCCGACTGTCTTTAACCGTAACAGTATGAAAATTTAAGAGCCTGATGACGCATTGGCTTTGGCTAAATTCTGTTTTAACGATCACTAAATAGTTTGGATGGGTAATAGGATGTTTGCTGAAGTTCTCATTCTTCTCACTCAACACGTCCTACTCAAAAAACATGCAAAATAGAATTTATAAAAAGACATTTTGAGAAAGTCAGCCAGATACTAGTCTGAATACTGCTGCTGATCGAACATAATTCAGCGTCCTCCGTTAAAAGAATTTCAGTTGATGTTGCTTAGAAGGAGATATATTGTGTAAAATGTGACATCTATACTTGCGTGGTTCACGAGTATTGATCGGCTGTGATTTCAAGTTATAATATAAGTTGTCAGCAGTCACGAGTTGTCTAGCAAGAATGGCACTATGAAGTATCAAGCATCCTTTCTTTTAGGAAGTTATTCATCAAACAAAATCAAAGGAATCAGAAAAAAGTTATTGTTTTCATATTCCAGATAGGTTAATGAAGGCAATACGACTAAGTGATATAGCTAAGCACGAAGCTATGAGTACAGGTTACTTGTAGTTAACTTTCAATACAAAAACATACATCGAGTTTCGATCACCTTTTTTAGTTTACTAGATACATTCGCATTTCTAATCAACTATAGTAACAATGATAATGCAACACATTAACTTTTTAAAAGTTCAACTACCAGACTTGGTGTTCCTGTCAGTGTCTTAAGTGTTATCATACTATCTGGTTGCTCAGATCAAACCACGCAGGACAGAAGATGAATCTTCAGCTGGTCATCAGAAAGTTGATTACTTACACCGGTGAGTCAAGATGACCATAATGTACAATGAGATATGAATGTAGATATAAAAAATAATGGATAAATGACTTTTCTTGAATACACTATAGAGGTATTGTGGTTATAATATACTAAATAAGAAAGTTCATAAATCATGCCTTATGAACGCATTTTTACTAACAGAATGATTTCCGCGGTTCAAGGAATTAAAACCATCTTCCTGATTTACTGACAAAACATGAGGAAATAAAGAAAAGGATAACTTAAGTTGGAATAACAGTTAAAGCTGATTCCCATTTTTTAATGTCCCTACCCTAAGACAGAGGTGAAACCACAGACATTAATCTCACTTTGATAAGATGTATGTGAAAAGTGGAATAAAATCGCAAAACGAATACTCATCCACACAAGTGTAGTTAGAATCAATGCGATGGTAAACTGACCAGCTTCAGCTTTATTGTTTGTCATCTTTGTCATTTAAAAGTTTCATAATGCGTACAGAATCAGTAGAAGTCTATGGATTCATTGGCTTGTTATGCTTCATTCAGATAACTGTATCATACCATTTCATGCTTCTGTTTTCACTAATTGATGACTTAAGAAAACGTTTCTCCAACGTTGTGTTGTTTGAATGATAGTAGAGATTTTTTAGCTTCATGGTCCCACTAATTTTTGCGTGTGTCACAACGTTTACATTATACCGTCCCAATAATATGATGGAGAACTGGTATTGAAGTACACTGTATACCACTCATGTTTACAATTGTTGAAACAACTATTAAAAATTCAATCAACTTTAAAAGTCTTTACCACTGGTATGATACATAGATACATACTTCACTGAGGATAATTTATTTAAAGTTACGACGTGAAAGCAATCGAATTATGTAAATAGGTATAAAAATAGCGTATCTCGCGATTACTTCTGTTTTTCATACTCACTAGTAAATATCCTTCTGAATAAGTTTCTAAACCCAGGCGAAATCAAAGAAATTTTCATAAATTCTTCCTGGCCAGTGAGATTCACCACAATAACTCCTTGCTTACTGAACAGATTGAAAGTTAGATTCCCAATCCATGCACTTGAAAACTGTATTCTCCAAGGGTAAATCATATGCCTTTATTCGAAAAAGCTGCAGTTTTACTTATAGTTTGTTATGATTAACTTTTACCCGTATGTAAACATTAATAAACCAAACATGCTGTTATGTTATTCGTTACATGAACAACGTCATATTTTTGCTGGGTATTTCAACTGAGTTTTTCAACTTTGAACACTTTTTGACCTATTTGATGGACTGATCTGAAAACTATTGTAGCATTAATTTCACTGCAATCAACTAATGATTAGGACTGACAACTATCCTATCACTTAGTTTGTCTCCTGACTAACCTACAGGTAGCCGATTAATTACTTAAAACTCATTTGTTTAGGGTATAATTCCCATTAAGTTAAGCTGAATAATCCCCTACTTTTAATGTCTATTAAAATGCTAGACGAATTTAAGTGAATACAGTATGTCTTTTGGAGAACTTTATCTTGGTATCAAACACTAGCTTGTCCATATGTGTACATGGACAACATTTCAATTTCGATGACTGAATAGCTGAATAAGATCAACGCAGAACCCTTTTTTACAAAGAATAATGTGAAAGGCAACATTCATCTTTAAATGGTCATCGAAACGACAGTTCATTTACTCAGCAAAATATTTTGTATAATACCAAACAATCTACGTTAAGTACTTAAGAGGAAGTTTTTGGAGTAAATTACGAGAAACAGCAGTTACTCTTGCACTACTTAGTGATCGTGATGAAAATGAAAGGTATGCAGTCTAGTTATGAACTTGATGTTGGTGAAAATCAACATACGTGAAGTGAAAAGGATGTCAACTATAGACTTTCGTGTCAGCTTGTATTTCGATACAGAACTGAATGAAAAAATAGCAAGTGAATTGTGCAGATCACGAATATCAAAGTCAATGGTGTAATTTTAGATGAGAAACAGACAAGAGAAAGAAATTAAATTTGAGTCTGAGATTTTAAATGACTAAATCATTTCAGTGAGATCTTTATTATGAATCGACATCAGGTAGAGGACCACTGAAAATCAAAGGAGGATGCAGCGCACATCCATGACTACATCAGAGATGGCGTATAAGAACATTAGGCCTTTCAGATGGCAGGGAATTATTCCATCCCTATTTTTCATTTCAGCGGTCCACTTTGAATTAATTTTCTTAGATACTGACTTATAACTTCGTTCATTTCATTTGGTCTCGAAACTAGTCCCAGTAGCATAGGGTGTTTCAAGGCTATAACTACTTTCCATGGTAAGAACCGCAGGAAACGTTCCTGGGTTTATATGATATGCGCACTTACAAAAACATCAATTTTTACACAGTGGGAGAACACTTTAAGTGCAGTGACATTCGGTTAACTGAGGAAGTACAGGTAAAGTTTAGGATGGTTAGACGTGATAAGACTGGTCACTTGACAACATGTTTATATAGTGTTAAATGTTTCTGACAAACTACTTTGTTTCCCGGAGTAAAAGGTAGAAATGGGGAGAAGAAGAGAAAGATAGATGAATGAAAAAGCGAAAACTGAGAGAAAGAGGAAATTGAAATGTAGGCATATTTCTGACTGTCTGTGTTACTTTGAATTGAGAAATTAGTTATGTTATCAAAAATGTCATCCTGCGAAACTCTATTCTAATATTCCTTTTCCTCTGGCTAATTTTCTTTTACATCTGACACTGTGCTGTTTCCAAGGTCATCCGTTTGATCTTGAGACTGGTATTAGGAAAAAAAAAGGAAAATTACAGTGAAATAGTCGACGTACACCTGTAGGTAAGATACATATGTCTTCACGTGTGTTTATGCTTCTATACGTATGTACACATTTCTATCGGTTGAAACTGAAACTTGTCTTTTTGTTTGTTTTCCTCTTCTCTTTTTCATGGTGCTTTTTTTGGAAAAGTAATATGTATAAGACGACACACTGTTATGTTAAGTGTGATCATTTAGCTTTTCTTGAAGACGTATGAAGTGAGAAAGTATGTTAAATTTAATGTATCTTTCATGTTTTAGTCAATTGAATGGGAAGCTTGAAAAGACGCTAAGACATTGACAAAGTCAAGAGAATTATATCGGTCTTGTCCGTTGGCGTATAGGTTGTTTATAGGTGTGAAGTGTAAAGTGATAGGATATCACAGGTATGAATAAATAGAAAGATATGCCTGCTGCATAAGACGTTAATGTCGTCATCTATTGACTGAATGAACAACGCTGTGACATTTGAAGCGACAATACTGGGTTCGCTTATCACTGGGGATTATGTCACTGACGTCTGGGTTCATCCAGTTATAAGGTTCTAAATGGGACGAAACAAGCACCTTGAATTCTAGTGTTATCAATCAGCAGTACAATATCAGTCAAACCAATGTCGATGCATTTGAAACAAGAAGGGACTACTTGTCTGAACCACAGAAATAAATGGTGAATAATGACAGGAGCACATAAACTTGTCTTTCAACTCATTTACAAACGAATTATTATGGTAAGAACCATTGATGAGAAAAAAAATGTTATTTTCAATGGACTGTTTTCCAAATTTGTACAGCTTTGGGAGTAAAAAAGAGAAAATAAAAAATTTTCACATCAATATTCATTCAAGGTCACAGTACTGATGAAACAGATAGCGGAAGAGTAAGAGAGTTTCACTTGACATACATTGTAAAGTAGGATGTGTAAACAGGTGGAAATTAGAAAAACTTAAGTATTGTTACCTAATATTTATCGATACTTGTAATTTTACAGTGATATTCTTGAGCGAATTCATCGAACTCTAAGCAAATTACAATACTGTTAGTGTATACTGAGGAAGTAATTTTAAGTTGGCCATTTGGGTTAGGTGGAAGCTATTGGTCACATGTTTCATGGGATGGGGTTCGAAGCTTTGCTTGTTTGTCATCAGCTTCTCAACTGCGCTTGGCTGGGTTTAGTTTCGATTTCTCAGAATGTAACCCATAAGTTTTATTGAGTGTTATATATATATATATATATATATATATATATATATATATATATATATATATAATATCTTGGATAGACGCAGATATGAATACAAAAGTGAAGGGACTATATTTTGATAATAACTTGCCTGGAGAACTTGTACTTCCACTGACTCTGTAAATACACGGTTTTGTATATTACTGATTATTTTCCCAATCATTTCATCTTCATCTTCTGTAGCTGTTTCAGGTGATAATATATCGTACTCAGAATCAGTGACATCCTGCTTTACAGAACAAGTCCATAAAATACATATAATATGAAATGAATAGTTATCAGAACATAAAACAGACAGTAAAGCTGATGGCTTATCAAGAGTCAAACCACTCTCCAAATTAAAACTAAACGCAATGCGGACACCATGATGGTCAACGTAAGATAAAATATTTATCATTTAATCAACATTTTGAATGTGAAGATCAGATTGAAAGTTGAATACATCCTGTTTCCAAAAGCTGTCAGCTTTTGGAATTCCATTACCTGGTACATAAAATAATCAGCGAACTATTAAGATATGAGTTTTGAATAAAAAATCTAAGCTTGTAGGAAATACTTTAACTACTTATTTTTCAGCAAAGTTGCTAAACATTTAAAAGTGAAATTAATCACTACCTAGTACTAAAATATTATACATTATGATTGGATTTCTAAAATAATCAGCGTACTGAACATTTAGGGATTCAAAATTTATTCTATAGACCTTTTCCAAATTGTATTTCATAACCTGTATTTCACAAGGTCTACAGTTATCATCTTATATCTATTATGAATCCATTTTTTTAGGTTGGTATAAGAGCTAGATAACGCAGCTGTAAAAAGTTCGTTATTCGTGGAAAAAATTAGCTGAAATCAAATATTCACATCACTCTTTGTCCCTGATTATAGAATCTGCTGTTCTCTTGATTGCTTTTTGGTGGAGAATAAGCTGCTATTAACTTTGAATAAAGTTGGATTCACGAATTCCCCAGGTTTCTGAGTACGATTTGCTGGGTAATTCATTAAAAAGAAGAAACCACAGCTAACCATCTAGATGCTATCCATAAACAATATGATTAAAGAGGTATGGAGAACCTGTCAATGGTCAAAAATTATCCTTTACAAACTATAGAGCTAACAACTCATATGCAACTTACCATAAAGCTTTCATTGAACCTTTGAATTTGAAGCTGGATTGGAGATTGTTCAGTTTTTAGTAGTTCAACTGATTTCAGTGTGCCTACACTGCTAACTCCTACTTTGTTTATCTAAAAAGAAAGAGATAGTGCAACACAATTGTAGAAGTATATAATAAGGGTGAAAACACAAGATTAAATAGTATATTCACCAATTAACGTCTGAATTATGAAAGCTGATAAAACCGCTTGCATCACTTTCCACATCGTAGAATATGCAAAAACTTCGTTTCTAAGTAGGTTAAATATATAATAACGTAAGTAAACTGTTGAGATTTTTATATCTGTAAACAAATGTAGAAAATACTTCTTTGCGCTTCGAAGCACTTTTGCTGTCAATGGGCTCCCACACGTAGGTCATACATTACGTTTTTGTCGACATTTGTAAATTTTACTCCTTACATTCATCCTCAGTAGAGGAAAACATTTTCAAACCATCTTTTTTGACATCACTTATAAAACAGGTGAAACAAGCAACAATAATACAACTATAGCCATCGCACAAGAGGTGGTTATCGCGGTTTGGTGGTCTAGTGGTCAATACTCTGGCGTATGAAGCGACCGACTCCTAGTTCGAGTCCCGGTTCGTATCCAGAATCACACTAATATTCATTGCCCATCGTTAATACTTGTATAATATAAATCAACTTTAATGTTCCCAGAAAAATGGATTCTTTCTCTTGAACAGTTTTACCTGTAGCCATTGAACATTGAGCTATACTGTGATAGTTGATTCTGTTTCTGCTATTAGTTGCACCTATTGTTGTTTCTTCAAGTTTTGTTGCTTTCTCTATTTTTTACGAATGATGAATGTTAAAATAAATTATAGGCTTGAAATCTAATACTTACTGAAAAAATACAATCCCCAACTTGTAATCCATTATCTTCATCGTGAATTGGAATGTCGCTTACGACCAAGTATTCATTTACTGTCTCATTGAGTCGCAGATGTAGGCCTAAAAAAGCAATAGATCAATGCGACACCTGAAGTATTTTCAACATTTCAGGGGTTCGAATGTGACTCATGAAACGGATGAAACACAGGAAATAAGAATTAACGGTTTTTGTGAAACATGATCAAGAAATTTGTAACTGTGTTTATTATTGAAGACAATGAGTTCGTAAGGCTTATTTCGAACTCAAAACCACTGCTATAATATTTACTCACAAATTATGCGGCAAGTTCTCTATTTTTAGTAGTCAATTATTTCTAAACAAAACAATAAATTCTGAATGTTATAAGTTTGCAAGTTTAGAATTACTAGTCAGGTTTATCACTAATTGATTTTTAGAAAATGATATGTTGGATTCTTTAACTTCCACTTCACTATTGATCGATATATCAAGAGGAGAGTTTCCACTTTTTCAGACTAACGCTTTGACAAATAAACTGTAGATCTTTCGGAAATTATGGTAGTTTAGTACTAAAGTTAAGGAACAAATTTATTTCTTAAACTCAGACATTTTGAGAGTCTTGGTGAACTCAGAATTAAAATCAAACTCTAAATTTCGGAAAATGATGATGTCTTTCTAGAACTCTCAAAAGTTATACACACACAGACAACTAATCAAACAGACAATATCAGATGTTGGAAAACAGTTATCAGAATATCATGGACCATCATTTTTGTGTTTTACTTTGAATATTTTCTTCACTTGTTTATTGATTTGCTTTTCCATTGTCTGTCATATCCTTATTGCTATCATCCATTCTAAAATGTGAAGTATTACCGAACGTCAATTTATTCACATTAATATGCTATTCCTTCCTCGTTATAACCATACCACAACCATTGTCAGGTTGATTTATTACGATTGACTTCACGCTTGCAAACTTCTTCAAAGTCGAAAGATGTCCTTTGGTGAGGGGTTTAAATTGGTATAGTGGAGATGTTTGGTATTAATTTGCAATGCTGACAAGTTTAGATCTGGATCGCCCCTTCTTATCTTTGTCAATAGGCTAGAGATCAATCGGCTGATTGGAGAAATCTTCATGCTTGTTGCTACTTGTCAGAATGGCGTGTCTGAAGCCTCGAAGAAAAATAATGCTACTCAAATGATGTCAAGTGATATCGATAAGTCATAAAAGATCCTGTGTTATGTACATTATTGTTTAGTTATGCTAGGTGCAGATTCACACTCAAATAGCCAAGTGGTAATCTTTGTTACTGTAGTGCTGGATAACAAGGACTCTGGTCTCTTCAGATGCATCTTATTCTCACAGACTGCGCATATCTTCAAGAAACAAGACAAAAGAATAACAGAGTGATATCATATCACAACATATAATACAACCAACTCAGTAGACAGATGTACATTCGAGAGTAAATTTATCTCCCATACTTAGAGAGAAAGTTTTTGGAAATGTATCATAAGGAATTCAGTAAGAAAACATTTGCCTTTTATTGTAGGTATCGACTGCGTTTCACAAGTCAGATAGTACCGTGAAACAGTAATTTGAGTAATAGAACCAGGATATTCGTCAGTAATATCAAACCAACAATTTTGATACTAAAATGTACACTTTTACCTTTTAACAAGCACTAGGATTTCTCTGAATAAACTGAAACTACGTGTGTAAACATGAACTACGCTGCTATAAGATTAAAACATGAGAAAACATAGGGAATTCTCGAAGATTTCACTGACAGCCAGAAGAATGCAGTAGCAAATGTTCATATGAAACACGTGCTATACAATTCACTATTTATTGTTAAGTAACTGACCTTAACGCTAATCCTCCGTAAACGTGTTATAAAATCTTTGTAAGTATTCTTTTGGAAATCAAACAAACAAGAAAATATCGTATGAAACAGCTGTATATGTAATGATTTTTTAAATGGATATATACAACTTCGGAAAGTTAATTTAATGTAGCCTATACTGTTAAGTTTTAGTGATTCGGATGATAGTACTGGTGACATATTATACTTCTTATTAACTTATTTTTAGCATGTTATTTCAAGAAAGTACATATTTAATTTCCTATCGACTTTAGAGAAAGGCTGAAGAAAGAGAAAAAGGCAAGTTTTACATATCCTGCCAATACTTTATGAAAAAGAAGTCCTCAATGCAGTAAGATTATTAAAATTCGAATAAATATGCCCAGTGAAACTGTAAAGGATTCATAAGTAGGCTTTAGATTATAAATGATAAAGCGCTGAAAATAATCCTCATGATGTTTATTTCTTTAAGCATGATGCTCTTTCATATAACGTTCCTTTCAACTGTTTATCTTTGTATATTTTCACCATCAAAAAGCCTGGGTTTCACTTGAATATTTAGGAACTGCAATAAGTTAACATATGATGTAGAGCTGTTTAAGGTTGGACTGATGGAAAACTATTAGAATCTGAAGTGTTGCACCAGGAATTTTCTGGTCCCAAAGTCGTGCAGTTTAATTGACGAAAACAATCATGTTAATAAATCCGTATCCACCATGTAACTATCACCTAAACGGAAGGCATTAAATATGTGCAATATGTATATGCATATATAATTTACACACTATTCTAGCGGTACATTCCTTATTCATTCCATTCCTTAGACTGATCTGGATTTCCCAAGAATGAAAATTTGAAGTATAGTAATTAGTTTCATGGGATCTCTAAAACGTAGGGCTTTTCGAAGGTTAAAGAAAGTGATACTACTCAATGTGACACATACGTACATATCGTATATTATGTTCCTGTATCTAAATTGACCCCTTCGTTAGTTCGTTCAAGGACTGCCAAATCCAGCAAATAGAAGACTATTTGAGCTTCAACCTAATGACATACGCATGATATATCCAAGTAGCCGAATTCGATGTTTCAAGAAGATGTCATAGGTCAAGTGATGAGTTCCTTCTCATCACTTTACGCAGTGACATCTTTCCTAATTAACTACAGAGAGTTTCCACTGAATGCAAGTTACACCTTGGAAGAAAGTCTTGTGATAACCTGAGCTTAGGCAAACAGGATCTTGGGGGATAAAAAGGAACCAGTTATATTAATTTATTTAACGGCAGAGCCAAGGGCAGTTTTACTTTTATTGCGAGATCTTTAAAGATGGTCTTTGAAATGTAATTCAAAATCTCATGTGCCCTACATACCCATAAAGATCTACCTCAGAGAGCAAATACAGGAAAAAGTCTTTGTCAACCTTATAATTGCGCTAAAAGGCTTCATAGTGTAAGGTTACTAGTAAAATAGTAGAAAATGATGCCTAGCTAATTATTCGTTTTATAATTAGCACATTTATTATGGCACAGTAAGATGATATAACCTGCGTAGACTATGATTCCATGATCTCAAAACAGCACTGAAATATCAAAATAGTTCTATGATTTTTCAAACAGATCTGATGTATTATTGGAGGGACAAGCCCTACTTGTAGATACACATTTATCTCTAGTGCATAATCACTAACTAGTTATATGAATCTGTAAAATTAAGAGTATTTAGATAGTTGTATCTTCAGACGAATCAAGTCTCAATATGAGTGATTTCATTGAGCTTAAGTAACTGATGAAATGGGTAGTTTGCATGTCTTAAAAGTATTAGATGTCAAGTAAACACCAGATGTATATAATAAGAATGGAAAGTACCTACTACTGATTAACATGAGAAACTAACAGAAGAAAACGATGAGATAGAACAACGTAAATAACTTTTCTCAAGTTCTATTGATTCGTTTAAAAGTGGGTTAGTAAGTGCACTAGATTATTTCTGGCATTTCCTTTTACATTTAATACAAGTGTATTGAGTATTATATTTTGGAATAATAGCCTTCTTTACTCTAAGGGAAGTGATTCAATATGTTACAAACCATGCAAAAGATAAAGAGTGTTCAGACAGTGTTCCTTCAGGCCAAACATTTTGTACAAAGTTGCGCCGGACATCAAATAGGAGATGTACTACTGCAGTCCGAGTATTCAACATCAGAGTAATCACACTACTGTATGTACACATATTTGGACAGAAAAAAAATCCTATTTACTTATTTGAATGTCAGGTAACTTATACTTTGCAATAATGATTCTAGCATGAGTGCAAGAAGTTCTTATCACTCAAAATATTCATTTTGCGTCCTTATTTAATTCATTTTAACAAAACCTGCTCTCTCTGATGACGTGTAAAGTTTGTAACGTTTCGTCAGACTTTATGTATAGTGCTAAAGAATATATTCTTGCTTTTATTAACAACATTTGTTAAGACTTTCATCTTACCTTTCTTCTTATCTTGGTTAAAAGCCAAGATAGTTATGTACTATTCTATCCCAGACCGAAGCATTTGTATTTATCTGACAAACACGCCGTTAGAAAACCTGTTCCTGATGATAGTTAAGGTGCAAATTTATTTCACCTTTTCAGTTTGGGGCTAAAACTTGGTTTTTAATACAGTATATTGGAATTATAGTGTGCGATTCATCCTATTTATCATGGTGTAATTGGGTATACATCGCATTTACACTAACGTTGAAACTACTGTATATGGCGTTGCTGAAGCAGATGACTGTCTTAGTGCAAGGTGTACAGTATTTGATGGCTGTTGTACAAGATGTCAATAGAACTCCCCTTCTTGCATGCCAGTCTTCTCGTTTCATTCAACTGATGTCACTGCTTCTGGACGTGTTGAAGATTTCATGGCCTGCAGTGTACAAGGATGGAGACATCAAGGTCTTCCTTAGGGACTTCGAGCCGGTCACGGAGCTGGTGAGCGTCCAAGATACACGAGCGAAGGTCATGGTGCTTGGCGCCTCGCTGAGGGCTACAGCACAGGAGGCATATGACGGTATGGAACGTCCAGATGGGAAGGAGACTTGGGAGAGAATAGATGAATGACTGGAGGCGTAGTATGATAGCCCAGCGGACAAGGACCTGGCGATGCAGCAGTTCTGGAGCAGCAAAACCTGGAATAGATGATGACCCATTGGCATTAGCTTTGAAGTTGACTTAACTACCTCAAGGAGAACTTCACATTTTGGATGAGGACCCCGAGAGTGTTCACCGAATGTGTTCTGAATGTCATCGCTTAGCAGCTAAGACTAGTGAACCCAGTCCAACGCATGGGTACCAGTGAGCTGGCCAAGATTACCAGATAGCTAATGAATACAGCAGTAGTAGCGGCGGAGTCATCAGAAGTAAATAATTGAAGGAAACGAGAAGACTGAGATGCAAGAAGTGGAGATTTTATTGACGTCTTGTACAGTAGTCATCAAATATTGTACACCTTGCACTATGGCAGTCATTTACATCACGTGCTTCATCTCCTCTTCTGCTTTTATCTTGATTTGTTCTTAATACGCCCAAATTGTCTCTTGAGTTTCTCTGGGCTGAATCTTTACCTATTGTCGGTAATTCCTTATGATTTCTGCCACCCTCTCAACATATGCTACTTATGTCCGATCTGACCAGCAACGCCCACTATACTACTATTTTGTAGCATTGGTAATAAAAGGATGGCAATTGTCTTTCCACCTCTTTCACTTATCTGTATAAAATATTTTTGGGATGAAAAGTACATAATGAGTTGGCTTCTTGACTCATACATTATTTCTTTTGATACAGGTGCCAACTTAGCATATGCTTTTCTGTACCAGGATCTGTCCAAACATTTTTTTTCGATTTTTTCTTCTATGGGTGAGTATTTTATTACTTCTTTATGATGCCAAAATCTAGCCGCCAGTGTGTTAAATGTATATAACCAATGGTAAAAGTAGCAAATAATGTAAATGAAAATTGTATTAAGGCGGAACTGCATTCTACATTTTCCTGAGATGACAAAATTCTGCTGACCCTTGCCAATAAATTCTTTTTTGAAATAAGAAGTAAACATCACGGAACTAGTGAAGTAGTTATTGTGTGTAGCAGTTACTTCGTAACTACCTGCCATGTCAATGTAATTGTTCCATAATCGAAGACCAACTTTCCTTATAGTTGTAAAAGCTGAATGAGAAATATAAATTACAAGTTGCTATGACTAAATAATATTTGTCAATTAATTTGATAGAAGGCACATACTTAAACCGAACGTCCAATCTACTTTATTTGTAAGAAGTGGTCGATTATACATCTTAAAGAGGTTCCAGAGGATCTATGACTCATTGGTTCAGGCATTCGGTTTCATTTTTTTTAATACGGCACCTCTAACCTAGGTTTGGGTAGCTAGGTAGTATAATCAATCTTGATGCAATAGATGGGGCTGATTGCCTATTGCTTGGTTGTCGCCTTCATTTCGTGATGTTTTGCTGAAGCAAGCATTTAATTGTTGCCTAAGACATCTCAAAATATTTCTTAGAAATTTTCAAGTTTATCTTGACTTTTCACCGAGAAATCCGTTGAATATTTAACTTGAGTAGAGTTTATTTATAGGATACTTAGTATTGCAACTCCACAGCTCGATTCTTGAGTATTTGGTTACATCTGGTAACTATGCTGCATGAGTCTTCTTTCAAAGTCATTTGTAAAGTGAAGCCAAACACTTTTAAGTGGGTGCGAATTCGCTACCTAAACACAACAGAAGCTGTAGCAATCCAGCATCACAAGTCTGCTCTTTGTGTTCAAAAAGGTACATTTAATCTCCAATTTTGCCTAGGTCGTAATCTCCCTGAGACAGTTTATTAGTTTCTTTGTTTATTTACCATAATCTCAGGAGCAATGTTTTATAACCTTGATTTGACCATTTAACTGTTATCACCTTGTGACCTTATTCATCGTTTTTGATTACCTTGTATTGACCCGTTTGCCATTGATAAAAATACATACTTTGTTGTAGCTATGATAACTATGTAAAGCTTTTGAAAATGATTCATCGGAAACAAAATCTTCTTTGATGGATTGCTTTTATGGCAACACAGCAAAATTATGATACAAAATGATAGTGCAAGTGAAAAACACTGGTCAGTTTGTAGTTATAGATTCATTAGCATATTCCAGTTGTTTAACAAATCATAGCTCATCTTAAAAAACGAGTTTTGATCGTTCACTGTAAAACTTATTTGCTGATGTTAAGCCTCACAGTTGGCCTAATTTTGTTAGTAGCTGAAAATGGATTCATAGGGCTTCAAACAATAGGCAGAAATTTCAAACTGAAAGTTAAGTTACCAACCCACAAACCATTTCACTAAAACAACTAGAGTTTTACAATGATAGCTAAACAGATATTGAAAGGGATACTTTATAACTTGAAAACCTTTATAAAAATGATAAGTTTGTACTGAATACTTTGAAAAAAGTGTACTACACATGTTCTCGTTCTGCTAGGTTAATTGTGAAGTAAGTAATCCTAAAGGCAGTCTATTGTATTTCAGAAGCAAAGTAAACTAATTATCAATTTTAAGGCATTATTTTTGAAATTCTTCACAGCTTCAAATTAAGCTGGGAATTTTTACTCCATGATGATATGAAATATATTGTCAAATACTGCATATGAGATATTGAACAATGATACGTCTATGTATGCGTAGGAAATTTCTCAAGCTATTCTTAATAGTTTGTTTCCTAGTTGAAAGCTTTTCGAAGCCTGGGTTTCATTGGGTAATATTTTACAATGACAAATGGTGTGACATTAGTTTTATGTAGGATCTAAGATGATAAAAACGATTTTATCAAAAAAACTTTTAATAAAAGTAAATAGGGGATGTTTGGTTGACGATGTGTTGAATCGAATTCTGCCACACCAAACACTTAAAAAGGAGTAGCCCAAAGAAAATATTTGCGTGCATCTTATAGTTGTTTCTTCAAGAGTTAGAACATTGTAGAAAGATGTCTGAAAGATTAGCGGAAGCAAAACCCACCAAATGATTTTCTTAGTTCTGTTAACACTAAGTTTATTAATGCGAGATGTCTTCAAGTATTGACACAGATTATTAATAAGAGGAATATTAATAAAAACTTACATGATACTGCAAATCCTAGTTGCTGGTCAGCATTCCTCTGCATATATACTGTGAATGGTTTTGACCAAATATTTAAATTTGACTTTTCTCTACTATCAAAATATTCACATTCGGTTGAATAGTTATCACTGTCATCATTATCCTTTTCCATCTCTGATTCATTAGTAGTTGAGTGCATAAGTTTAGGTTGACAAAAAAAGCGATCAGATTCGTCTGAACAGGTGAATGTGGTAAATGTTATTACTGGTTTAGTTTGTCCAGGCTGATATTCTTTGTGTGTTGGTGAATTACTGTGATTGTGGTTTTCAGACTGTAATGCACCCATTTGTAGAGATACATCAACTGCATTGTTATTAACAACTTGACAGTTGCTACGAATGAGCAAGTTTGGCAACGAATTCGCATTTGTCAAAATCATCGATTGAGAAGCTGACTGATCATTTGGATTCCACAGATTGAGTGTTTTGTTAACAGGTCTCAAACTTACTCTTCCACCTACCCAAAATGGTTTATTACTTTCTGATTTTACATTTGAAATATCGGTTACAGAGAACTTGTTCAGTTGGTTAAAGTTAACTTTGTTAATATGATGAACTGTTTTGTTAACCTTCCGTAACCTTTTTTCTGCGATCGGTCTCACATTTTCTGGAGGCGGATCTTGTGTGAAAAGAAGTGAATTGGTCCCCTTAATTATGTAGCCGTTGACAGGTCTGTAGTTAAAAGAAATATTTGTGATCTCATTAGTACCTTATTGACGGGCTATAAAGCTTATATTTATAAATGGATTTGGGCATACATACATCATTTCAGAATGTATAATTCTTATAACACTAAATAAGTAGTAGTGGAATTTTACTCTTCATGTATAACCTCAGTGCATTTTATCCAAGATGGTACTTAAAAGCTTATGATTTGTTTGTTTAGCTATGACAGTTTTAAAGACAGTGGTGTTTGAGCAAAACTGAAAAATAAGACATCCATGTTGATACTCAAAAGCAGACAAATTCATTATTCATAACCTTAATTTTTTTTATTCAACCACTAAGTTATTGCAAGCGAAACTTGTGACCAGCAATTCTGTCCAACAAACAAACTGGAATTCGAGTATGTGTAACAATCAGGTATGTCATAATTTCACATTTACTTCTGTTAAGATTTCTTTTTAACTGTTTGCTTATGTAGCTGTAGTGGTTATATAAAACGCTCATATTATGACCGTGATAAGTAACTAAATATTCTGAGTTCATTGTATTCAGCAACATTTGTTGCTTTCTTTTTGCATAAACTACAGAAGCCTGTGCATATAAAAAAGGTGACTATTTGAAAGGCTTTTGAAAAAGCGAAACGTGCTATTATTAAGGGTTTTTGTACATTCAATTTATTATGTTCTGAGAAAAATATCGCCCTGTAATAATGTGTCTAGAATGTGACTTTTCATGTTTTCAGATTATATGAGCATCAAACTTCTCATGGTTGACATAACTTTTTCTCTTAACATTTTAGTCATCATCATCGATAAATTGACGAGTATGAAAGAGTTTTCATTAGTTATCCTAGTGAATAAGGCCTGAAATTTACGTAATCGAATGCAGATGGCAATAAAAGTTTTCGAATAGGCTGTAGGCTTCAGAAACGTTCCTACATTGCAAACACTTAGGCAATTCATTGAATAGGCGGCTAAAGAGAAGAAATGGATCAGTGACAATAACTGTAATTAGATGTATGGTTTTTTAATGGACCCACTTCT